GTGTCTGTGCCAGCTTCGATGCACTTCATGAGGCTTTCCCGAAGGCCTGGTTATCTTGGGCGCTGGAGAGTTTCTAGACCCCCGGGGAGGAGTACAGTTGCATCTTCTAGTGATTTCATGCTCATGTTTCTCCTACCTGTATCATTCCTTGACTGGGGAGATACTTCGTGATTCGTCCCGTCGGTGTTTCTGATGAGGGGAGCGAGACCGGGGAGAAGGGATGAGGGGTCTATGTAGAGGAGATCATTCTCCGACGATGTTCTCTAGTATGTCGATCTTTTCCCTTTGCTGGAAAAGCAAGTAGTTGGATTTGTTTAAAGCGGCAATGAGGATCGCAATGCAAGGGTCAACATCTTGTGGGATGATGATGGGCTCGTATACATGGTTGGAACTTGGGACACGAGGCTTCACGTTGTCAGAGGATGGAGATGCAGGCTTTCCATCCATGTGATCGGTATTCCCGACAGTAGCTCCAGGAATGGGGGTTTTGCCGCAACCCAGAATGGCAACGAAGAAATATTGGTGGATGTCATTGTTATGGTGAGAGACCATGACAATGGAGGTTCGAAGATATAACTTTAGTCTCTTTTTTTTTGGAAATATTAGGGGATCTTGGTTCAAAAAACAGGGGAGATGGGTTCCCACACACAGCGCCACTAATTTGGAGTGATCAAAATGGATCGTCTTGGCCTTCAATGTAGGGCAACAATAGTAGTTGTAGGAGAGAAGGGAGTGTACTTGCAAGGTACTCCGATTTCAAAGTAAGTTTTGGGCTAGAGAGAAAGCAAGTACAAGTGTTTAAATATGAGTGAGAATGATTAGAATACTTGACCCTCTCAAGAGATAGGGTATTTATGAGATTCCCTCCAACGTGGGGCCAAGGTCTCCCATGTGGCCAAAATATTTGGTCGGCCAATGGAGGACTGCCAGGTGGAAGATCTAATACGTGATCTTTGACCTGGTCCAACTGTCTCCGTGAATTTTGGAGGGGTATTTGGTCACGTGAACTGTCAAGCGCGTGAGGAGAATGTCCCAAACGGCTATATGCTTCAACGACTAGTTTGTGCCGAATGGTTATATTGTGTCAACGGTTAGATTGTCCTAATCTCCTTATTGAGAATGGCCTTAAGCTACACTGGACTAGGCATTGCCTAATTGGGGGGCATGTGTCAGTCCAGTCCAGAAAAAAAACAATACAATCTAAACCCTCATTATATAAAATCTAATGGTTGCTTGAATCACTCACAAAATCTACAAAGAGTTCTACCTTTAGTTAATGTTAAAATCCACCGACAAGTAAAATACATGCTTCTTAACACTATTGAATCCAGATCTCCGACCACCTCATTAAAAATTAATTGATTTCTATCCCATCAAATTTTCCAACAAACTACCCCCCATAAGCTACTAGCAATCTTTTTAGAGCGCCTTCCTCTAAACTTTCCTAGCCATAACAGTAGATTTTTTGATAAATTTGTTTCATTATCCCCACTTATCTTCAACCATTCACATACTTTTGTTCCAAACATACTTTATCCTAGAACAAGTAATAAAGAGGTGACTATCATCCTCCATTGGCCCAAAACAAAAAACACATACAAAATCATGAGAGTTAGTGAGGATACCGCAGTGAAATAGATTGTCTCTCGTAGGTAGTTGGTCGAGTAAAAGGCTCTATCCAAACACCTTCGCCTTAGAAGGTAAGTGTGATTTCCACAAAAACTCATGGTAGCCTTGTTATGTTCCTCCATCAATAAATCGCCCGCAACCAGCAATAAGATAGAATAAAATGAGTTGACTAAAAAGGAATTGGAAACTCCTATAGGCCAAAGGAACATGTATTGATTATTCTTTGTTGGTGCGACATCCTGCAATAGCATAGAAGGACCGCGAAACTCAGCGTGAAAATTAGGTGCAGATTCCCTGCTTTGGAAGTTCAGCCTCCATTACCACCTATTACCTTCCCACGATCCCATTTCAGACAGCAAAATATCACGCTTAGCAACAATAGAATCGAGGCTAGGAAATTGGTCCATCATTGTAGTGCTGCCTCACCATTTCGTAGTCCAAAATGGTGTTTTTGCACCATTGCCCAAACTAACTGTGATCAAATCCATAAATGGAACAATAATAGAATTACCATTTAGCTTCAAAACATCCTTCCATCATAATGAATTGATTGGTTTGCTGAACGGGCTTCCTTAGACATGATAATCATAGTATAGTAACCATATTTTTCACGTAATAATCCATTCCAGATGGCGTTAGAATCAGACAGTAATCACCATAGCCATTTTTCCAAGAGAACCTTGTTAAACAATCTAAGATCTTTCAAGCCAATACCTCCCTTTATTTTCGTCCGATCCGTGCTAAAGAAATTTTTTATGAATAATTCTTAACTCGTCCAAAACTTTCCTTGGTGCCTTGAAGAAGGAAAAATGATGGATTGGCATATTCGTCAAAACCGATTAATCAATGTCACGTTCCCCCAATGGATAATAGTCCCCCTTTCCATGGAGACAACCTACTTTTAAAACATTCAACCACCGCCTTCCAATACAAGATCCTTCTATGATTGTCACCCACCCTAAGCCCCAAGGACTTAAAAGGTATCGAACCAATCCTACAAGCTAGGAATTGCTCAGTTGCCTTCACGAAGAAATTCCCAACACCGGTGCCAAACAAACAACTTTTTTCCATATTAACTTTCAATCCAGAAATCAATTCAAAACCTTTTAGTATTGATTTAAAATCCATAAATTTGACCAATCTCTATCTCTCAATAGAACAATATCATCTGCAAACTGTAATAGGCAATGAGTAACTTCGTCGTTTACTTTGAAGCCCCTATACAATCCCTTAGCAGTTGCCCTTCTGACCAAAGTTTCCAAACCTTCCGCCACAATAGAAAAGAGAAAAGGAGATAAAGGATCTCCTTGTATCAATCCTCGAAACACCTGAAAATATTTTATGGGACTATTGTTTACAAGCATTGACATATGGCTCGTGAACACCCCGCCTTCTATTCATTTCAACCAAACTGCACCAAAACCCATGGATTCTAACATCATCCTTAAAAAAGACCAATCAACGTAATCATATGCCTTGGAGAAATCAACCTTGAACATCACACAATTATGTCTTCTTTTCTTGCTCAAATCGATAAATTCATTAAGAACCAAAACCCCGTCAAGTAATTGCCTATCTAGAATAAACACCATTTGACTGCGTGAGATGAATTTCTCCACGACCCTTCTCATTCTTCAGGCAAGGAGTTTAGATATGACTTTATAAACACAATCGATAACCGTCCTATAACCATTCAAATTTTATGGATTATTAGGGTTGACAATGAACCGAACCAACTCGAAAATAGTTCGGAATTCGATTCGACAATTAAATCGTTGAACTAGATTCATGAACCAAATAAGTTGAGTATGAGCGAAAAATTAAGTTCGTTAACTAAATGAGCTGAACTTGAACTATACATAGTTCGACTCGTTAGGTTCATGAGTCAACTCGATTACATATGAGAAGAATTATATTGTCTTTAAGATTAGGCTTAAATATTTACTCCATATTTTAGACAAATTTAATTTTCAATTTAGTAGTTTTTGAATTAGACTCTCAAATGTATCTCATGAAAGTTGTGTAGGTTTTGAATTAGTAGATTTCGAAAATAAAGTTAAATTTCAATATGATAACTTTTATTTTATTTTAATATTTTATTTTTAAAAAATATATTTATTTAAAATGTCAAATATACAAAAAAATATATATATTTAAAAAAATAGTTTTTAAGTCCGTGAATCATGTGAGTTGAACCTAATGAGATGAGCTTAACGAGTTGAACTGAATTGCTCGCGAACTTATAATGAGTCGAGTTTGAGTTTAAAAAAGTTCGTGTCGAACTCGAATCAATTTTTAACAAGTCAAGCCGAGTTAAGGTGAGTTCGACTCGACTCGACTCATTTTCAACTCTATGAATTATCAATTTTGGAAATATGTTAATTGTATTACTTATTATTCGATAGCAACAATCAAACTAATTGGGAGGTTTATTTAAGGGGATGGTTAAGAGATTAGGATTAAATAATTTAGAAAATGAGTAACAACATACAATGAGATATTTAATGCGCAAGCTCAAAGGAGTATAAGGGAAGTTCAAAATTAGCCTCATCCATAATATCTTTTTGTTGTTAAATCCAAAGTTTTATTTTAATTTCTTACTCAACTAATTCTATTTTTTTCAAATATTATCATGTTGGATTCAATTAAAAATAAACACTTGTTGTCTTTTGATGAATAGTATGAGTTGGTATAATTTCTAAACCGCCCATAATTTTTTAGGATTAAATATTTTTATAGGATTTATATATATTTTAATTTCGATTTTAATTTCTATATATTTTCTTTAAAGAATAATTTTTTTAAAAAAATTTAATCCACACTTGTACTTCCTCTTACAATTGATGGTTTTTATAATTTAGCAGCAGAATTAACAATAGTTTTAACGACGATTTTTAACTCAGTGGTTTATTAGCAATAATTTTAACGATAATTTTAGTATTAAAGACAAAAAATGTGGATGAAATTTTTTTAGATAATCATATTTTAAAAAATATTTAAAAAATTAAAAATATTTAAAAATATCACAAACATATTTATCCTAATTTATTATTACTTAGAACGGGTTGATATAATTTGCAAGCCATAATTTATTATAGTTGAAACAAGTATTTGGAGAATTGAATATAAAGTGTGAAAGTATTATAAATTTGTTGTGTGACTATAAATTGTCCATAACTATGAAATTCATTAAGTAAGCTCATGAGAAATTTTACTCTAATCATGCGAAATTTTACACATGAAATTTTATTCTAATAACAACTTTGAAATATATTGAAACACTTTTCTATCTAATACATGGAAATTTTATAAATGATTACAAACCATATTCTTAAATCTTTTACGAAAAATATATAAGCTTACAAATATATTTAACTATGTATTCCTCCGATTGGAAAAATACTACTATTATAAATAATCATTTGACAACGTATAATTCTTCCTGTAATACCAATCTCTTCAATAAGATTTGTATTTAAATTAAATTTTTCAATTTCTCCATATCTATTTAAGAAGATATCACCGTTTATTCCAACTCCAATAGGACTTGTAGAATAAGGTAGGGGTCCAATTCTAAAAAGTCGTGTCCATGATTCCGTCACACCAATCTCACCCAAAACTGATATGAAAATATTATAAGGTTCTTCATAATCGATCGTAGCAATAGAATCTTTTAATATGAACATGTGTCTATCAAATACATGATAATTGGGGTTGGAGTGTGTTATAATAAAGACCTCATCTCTCAAGTTAAATGATACTAACATATGTTCTTTTAAATGATCTCTGTAGCCCCACCAATGACACATCCCATGGAAGTAAATTCCATTACCATTTTGTTTCCATTCATCATTGTAATAATGATTTGGCATTTTGACCTGAATATCCCTCCAAGAGTTACTTTTTAGACTATATATCTGCCATAAGGTCTCATCATGTGGACAAATGTTTAGATCAAGTTCAAACTTCTTACTATCAATAAAATAAAAATTTCGAATCAATTTGTAGTCATCTGCGACAGGATCATAACAAAACCCATAAATATTTACAAAGGTAAACATCAAAGGTAGATCTTCAAAAATAGTGTCGGGAGGAAATGCTTTCAAAATTGCATGATTAAAAGAGCCAGAAGGAATAACTTTAAAATCCTCTGTAGACGGATTCCACAGTACTACTTCTTGGTTAATATAATTGGTGTCGCCTCTTCCATTGCCTCGACAGAGACAAAGTATTCCATTAACAATGGAACCAACAATATAAAAACGTTTTCGATATTCTTTAAATGGAGGTGGCCAATCTAATTTGACTTTATTTTCAAATGTTTCACCCGAAAGTAAAAGTATATTATCTTCACTAAGATCAAGAGATTGCTTTAAAAGAAAACATGAATTATGATGATCCTCATACTTAGATGCAAATAAACTTATCCGGTAGATGTCCATGAATTGGGGTTTTTCAAATAAATTACTCCAAAACTTACATACACAACTAAATCGCTTCAAAGATTTCATAGGTAATTTAGAAAGAATATCAAAAGAAATATCATTGGGAATATAGTTGCTAACCTCCTTTTTTGGGAGATCCATTGATTCCATCAATTGCATGACTGTGATCATATGGTAAAGATGATCACCAATCAAATATAGCTTAAACTCAACAACAATGAAAAAAAACTTATAAAATTTATATTATTAGAGAAAACCAATATGATCTGGTGAAGAGAAAAACAATTATATATAGACTTTGTACCTTCCGCTTTTCTTTTACTAATATATAATATATAAACTTTGTACCTACCACTTTTCTTTTAATATATATGATAAACTTTATACCTACCACTTTCCTTTTATTAAATTATATATTATACTTTATACCTTTCAGTTTTCTTTTATTAATTTATATATAAATATTATAAATTAATAAAAGAAAACTGAAAGGTACAAAGTATATATATAATTTAATAAAAGGAAAATGGTAGGTATAAAATTTATCATATATATATATATATATATATATATATATATATATATATATATATATATATATATATATATATATATATATATATATATATATATATATATATATATATATATATATATATATATATATATATATATATATATATATATATATATATATATATATATATATATATATATATATATATATATATATATATATATATATATATATATATATATATATATATATATAAAATAAGTAAGAAAACTATAAAAACAAGTTTCTAAACTTTGTACCTACCACTTTCCTTTATTAACTTATATATAAACTTTTTACCTACCACTTTCCTTTTATTAACTTATACATAAACTTTATACTTACGACTTTGTTTTAAATTATAAAAAGAATAAGAGTAAAATTTCTAAATTTTAAACATACCACTTTCCTTTTATTAACTTATATAAAAAATTTGTTCCTACCACTTTCTTTTAATTTATTTGGTAGTGTTATATATGTATTTCTTATATGAAATATATATATATATATATATATATATATATATATATATATATATATATATATATATATATATATATATATATATATATATATATATATATATATATATATATATATATATATATATATATATATATATATATATATATATATATATATATATATATATATATATATATATATATATATATATATATATATAATTTAAAAAACAATAAAAATCAATATAAATAATATAATTTTTTGTTTTTATCAAAACATTTTACGCGAAGGTAAATTTACCCAACTTTTTGAGTTGGCTATATAAAAATTCAACAAAGTCAATTTTAGAATACGTACTTACCATTATTTCACGACAAGATTGACTCTTAAGAAGAATATAAAAACCCCTAAACTAGACGTTTTTTTTATAGCAAAGCCCTGGATGAAAATATCTGGTCTTACCTTTAACTTTTTTGGATTTATGAACCTTTGAGTTTTTGATTGCATTCAAAGATTTGGGATGCTTCCAAATCATTGGTGTGTTTGTAACAAATTACTTGACCCCAAAGTAATATTAATTTCAGATCAACATGTCTCTTTTACAGACACTATTAATTTAATTTTGATTCGTATCATTGCAGTTTATGCTTTTACTTGTCCCTTACACAAAATAAATCTCTTGATGAACATCTCAACCACCATTAGCAATCTCAATATCCCTTGGAGCATTACGGGATAGTTTAATCCTATTGCTAGTTCTCATGAGCACAGAGGAGTTTGTGCTCCTAACAAAACTCACATGAAGGAATTCACCAATTATCCATATAATAACAACTTGATTGATATCCCTACAAAAGTCTCTAGTGGAAAGAAGACTAGAGATGGCCTTTGACAACCATCTTTGGTTAACTTCTAGCATAACCATAAATGTCTCAACTTATACCAAGCATATATCTGATCACTCTACTATATTTATGGAAGCTGGTTTCTCCTAACAAAAGCATGCATCGAGTTTTAGGTTCCTTGGGATGTGGAACCTTCATGAGAATTAGGAGGTTTTCATTACAAAATCTTGGTATAAACCTATGAAAGGTTTCTCGATGTACATTCTTTCTAAAAAGCTTCAGATGCTTAAGTCTAATCTAAATATTTGGAATGTGAAAGTAGCTTATGAAAGATTAGATAACATTTAAAGCAGGTCCGGTCCAAGCCGAAAGCGAATGAGGCAAGGGCTTTAGGCCTCCATTTTTTAGCCTTTGAAAAAGGTCTCATATTTAAAAAATGAGAATTTCTTACCCCCACCCCTTGGGGTTCTTATGCACCATGTGAAGAAAAAAACCTAAAATATTTTTTGATAGTGAAAACCTAAAATATTTGGTGCTTAGTGAAGAAAAAAACCTAAGACTTTAGGATGGTGAAGAAAAAACCTAAAATATTTGTCATTCATTTATACTCTTTTAACTCCCTGACGAAGAAACATGAAATTTTGTGATGGAGAAGAAACATATTGAACATATTTACATCTAATTTACCATAATTCATGGTGAAAAATGTAAATATAAATAAGTTTGAGCTTCATTATTTAATCTTAATTTTTACCTATATTATATAAAATATATGTCATGGACTATAGTCTTTTATCTTTGTTTTTTAGTGGGGAAAAACATAAAATCTGATGTTGTAGTTGAAAAATGAATTATAATTAATTTTTTAAACCTACTATAGTCTATTATGTTTGGTGCTTAGTGATGAAAAAAGCCTAAGCCTTTGGGATGGTGAAGATAAAACCTAAAATATTTGTCATTCATTTATAGTCTTTTAACTCTCTGACTTATTGACGAAGAAACATGAAATTTGGTGATCGAGAAAAAACATATTGAACATATTTACGTCTAATTTACCATAATTCAATGTGAAAAAGGTAAATCTAAATAAGTTTGAGCTTCATTATTCAATCTTAATTTTTACCTATATTATATAAAATATATGTCATGGACTATAGTCTTTTATCTTTGTTTTTTAGTGAGGAAAAACCTAAAATTTTATGTTCGAGTTGAAAAATAAAATATAATTAATTTTTTAAACCTACTATAGTCTATTATGTTTGGTGCTTAATGATGAAAAAAACCTAAGACTTTAGGATGGTGAAGAAAAAACCTAAAATATTTGTCATTCATTTATAGTCTTTTAACTCTCTGACGAAGAAACGTGAAATTTTGTGATGGAGAAGAAACATATTGAACATATTTACATCTAATTTACCATAATTCAATGCGAAAAATGTAAATATAAATAAGTTTGAGCTTCATTATTTAATCTTAATTTTTACCTTTATTATATAAAAGATATGTCATGGACTATACTCTTTTATCTTTGTTTTTTAGTGGGAAAAAACCTAAAATTTTATGTTGGAATTGAAAAATAAAATATAATTAATTTTTTACACCTACTATAGTCTATTATGTTTGGTGCTTAGTGATGAAAAAAACCTAAGACTTTAGGATGGTGAAGAAAAAACCTAAAATATGTGTCATTTATTTAAAGTCTTTTAAGTCTCTGGCTTACTGACGAAGAAACATGAAACTTTATGATGGAGAAGAAATATATTGCACATATTTACATCTTATTTACCATAATTCAATGTGAAAAAGGTAAATATAAATAATTTTGAGCTTCATTATTTAATCTTAATTTTTACCTATATTATATAAAATATATGTCATGTACTATAGTCTCTTATCTTTGTTTTTTAGTGGGGAAAACCCTAAACTTTTATTTTGGAGTTGAAAAATAAAATATAATTAATTTTTTACACGTACTATAGTCTATTATGTTTGGTGCTTAATGATGAAAAAAACCTAAGTCTTTAGGATGGTGAAGAAAAAACCTAAAATATTTGTCATTCATTAATAGTCTTTTAACTCTCTGACGAAGAAACATGAACTTTTGTGATGAAGAAGAAACATATTGAACATATTTACATATAATTACCATAATTCAAGGTGAAAAATGTAAATATAAATAAGTTTGAGCTTCATTAGTTAATCTTAATTTTTACCTATATTATATAAAATATATGTCATGGACTATAGTCTCTTATCTTTGTTTTTTAGTGGGGAAAAACCTAAACTTTTATGTTGGAGTTGAAAAATAAAATATAATAACTTTTTTACACCTACTATAGTCTATTATGTTTGGTTCTTAGTGATGAAAAAAACCTAAGACTTTAGGATGGTGAAGAAAAAACCTAAAATATTTGTCATTCTTTTATAGTCTTTTAACTCTCTGTCTTACTGACGAAGAAACATGAAATTTGGTGATGGAGAAGAAACATATTGAACATATTTACGTCTAATTTACCATAATTCAAAATGAAAAAGTTAAATATAAATAAATTTGAGCTTCATTATTTAATCTTAATTTTTACCTATATTATATAAAATATATGTGATGGACTATAGTCTTTTATCTTTGTTTTTTAGTGGGGAAAAACCTAAAACTTTATGTTGGAGTTGAAATATAAAATATAATTAATTTTTTACACCTACTATAGTCTATTATGTTTGGTTACTAGTGATGAAAAAAACCTAAGACTTTAGGATGGTGAAGAAAAAACCTAAAATATTTTTCATTCATTTATAGTCTTTTAACTCTCTGACTTACTGACGAAAAAACATAAAATTTTGTGATGGAGAAAAAACATATTGAACATATTTACGTCTAATTGACCATAATTCAAGGTGAAAAAGGTAAATATAAATATGTTTGAGCTTCATTATTTAATCTTAATTTTTACCAATATTATATAAAAGATATGTCATGGACTATAGTCTTTTATCTTTGTTTTTTCTTGGGGAAAAACATAAAATTTTATGTTGGAGTTTAAAAATAAAATATAATTAATTTTTTACACCTACTATGGTCTCTTATGTTTGGTGTTTAATGATGAATAAAACCTAAGAATTTGGGATGGAGAAGAAAAAACCTAAAATATTTGTCATTCATTTATAGTCTTTTAACTCTCTTTATTACTGACGAAGAAACACGAAATTTTGTGATGGAGAAGAAACATATTGAACATATTTACATCTAATTTACCATAATTCAATGTGAAAAAGGTAAATATAAATAAGTTTGAGCTTCATTGTTT